AAAGGAGATTTCTTAATTTTTCTGAATCCACTTTAGTCTTAGCATTGAGTTGTGAGGTGTCACGTATGCGTAGCCTTCGCTCCTAGGTCCTTTGAGCTCATACCTACACCATAACTTCCCATGAACTTTTATGGAGCCTCCGTTAGCATTCTTGACAATCAAGCTTGTTTTTTCCAACTGTAGAGTGCCCATACTTTTCCAAACCGCTTCGTTTATCAAGGTGATATCTGATTCTGTATCCTGTAGAAAACAGTGGATGGCTATTTAATTTCGCTTCCACATATACTCGAATCGAACTCACTTATAACATCGCGTCCGCAACCTTCGCAACGCTGTGCACATGACGTCTTGTTTTATTCGAATTTTTCGTCTTATTGCTATCGCTGTTTCTGTGTGTTCTCTAATTTGGATGCTGCTGAGTAAGCGCTGTTCTTTCCGCTGGTTGTTCGCAGATCTCCCCCTTATGACCTGTCTTCTTGCATTTCTTGCAAAACCACAGCTTAGCTTTGCCATCTCTGGAGAAAAGTATCCACCACCGCAATTCAAGCACTCCAACTTTTCGGCACTTCCTTGCTTGTTGCTTCAACGATTTCCAAGCAAAGCTACAGTCTTATTAATTTTCTTGAAAGTCAGGAAGTTTTCGCATTCCAGATACAGATCTTGTAGCGAATTTTTCGTCCGACCTTGTATTATTAATCCAGGACAGCAATGAGTCGCTGCTTTATGTCAGCTTTTTTCTGACTCTTTAACCCAAATATACACAAAAGGCATTTGATCTCATCGCTGTCGAGCTCATGGATCTTCTGCTTTTCGCACAGTTCGTTCACTCGACTGGTATACATGAAGTAATTTTCGGAATCCGCCTTCTCCAGCTTCACACATTGGTACCTCATGGTAAATTCTGAAATCTTCACGTAAAACAGTTGCTTATATCGACCGTTTCTTTGAATTTGATGCCGGTTAACTTTCTCGGTAGCACATGCCTCTGATACTTTTCGAGACAATCCTTGTCCAGTTTTTCGCACAACAGCACCACCCTGGCGCTCTCTGTGAGCTGTTTCGCGTCTCCTGCAAAAATTTCCTTTTACCATCTTCTGCTGAAGCACATATCCGCCTCGGGATCGAAGGAAATTTTTCAATTCCGAAATATTTTGATTCTTTTGCCGAGCGCGGGCATCATATTTGGAATTTCGGTTGAGGTACTGCTTCGTTCAGTGTCAGTAATGTGCTTCAATATCTCCAACATTTCTCTTCTTCATTCTTTGATCAGTTCTCTGAGGCTTCGCGAATTTTCTTTGAACTCCTTTAGCATAAATAGCATCTCCTCTGATTTCATCTTTGCCATTCTGGTCGATTACTTCTGTTGCCGTGAGGTTACGACTACTCTCTGCGGCTTCTTCGACTCCACGTGTGCTTCGTTCTGATCGCCACTGTTGTGTCTTCAGACTCCGGATATTTTCTCGCTTTCTTGTACTTGAGCGGCACAAGAGTAGACAAGAACATTCAACTTCAAGTCATTTATAACTTAATATGTGAAACTGCACACTAAGCCCTATTAGCGACGGCACCCTTACTGGTAGTTTTCCAGTGAAACATTTTCTAGTTAACAAAGTGTAGAAATGTGTTATATTCACTAACATGTAATCAACAAAAACAAAAGAGACAAGGAAACAAGCAGAAATCACTGTAAATGAGTAGGTTTCAATTTCATTGTTTTAGTGCGCACTACGCATATTAAGTTACGAATGACTTTACGATATCTAGAGTGAATAAAATTAAAAGCAGAGGCAAGTGAGTGAACAACAGAACTGAATGAGGCTAGCAGTGGGTGCCTTTTATTGCTCTCATTTCTTGCGCACTGAGGTTGCATTCGACAGTGCGAGGGAGATCACTATGAAGAACAACTAATCATTTACAGTCACAACAGTAACCTATAACAACCTCTCTGGGGAACAAACGATACACACCGTCCGCTGTAATCATTACTGTAAATTGCGCTTGTTGTCGATGGTCCTGTGAGATTTTGTTGTACTGTGTTAGTGTTTACTATTCTGCCATCATCCCTCAAGACGACTTTCAGTTTCGTTGATTCGAAATGAAAATGAACAGGAAAATTTGAAATTGCTTGCATCTGAAAGCTAAACACTACTAGAAATCCGCTGGCTTATTCAAATCACTGTCGTCTTTGATCTTCAAATTTTTTTGTCTGCAGCTATGAAGGATGAAATAGTCGCAGCATCTAAGACCTTTACTCTACTTCAAAGAAAAGTGATCACCGAAGTTTTGCTTCAAAATTATTGAATCATTTTGCTTCACTAAACAACTGATAACCATCTGATGCTTGCCCTCTTCAGTGAATGAAGTGAAAGGCGCTCTGAGAAACTCCGCATAGTCGCTGATATTCACTGAAAGCTCCAGCCTTACCATGGCAGGCATCTTTTACACCATCAAACTTGGTTTTCATTGTTCGGACTGGATTTGATTTATTACAGGGTTATCAACAAAGTTGGGTGCCTCTTTCAGCGTGGCCGCCTCGTCTCATTTCAAACAAACATGTTCTATTAGGTAAAGAAAGTTCCCGGGCACTTGCGAAATTTTTTTCAAATCGCTGTAACTTCAAGCAAATTGATTCTTTTCTGAAGTTACAAACTTCATTGCAAAGACAATTTTGTCCTTAACATATCTTTTTCTTGTTGGCTTCTCAGCGCCTCACTGCGGTCCACCAGCATGCGCAGAAGGGAAAAAAGTCGCCGCGAAAAGTGGTCTATTTGTGCAATATTGTCTCAGGCAGGATGATAGCTGGAGATCCCAGATACTGTAATCATATAGAGGTCTACTAGGGCTGTGATGGGGATTATTCATGTTTTTGAAGGACCACCTGCAAAAAAATTTTCTCTAGAAAGTTTGAAAAATCGATCATTTTTGCCTTTGAAAATGCACCATTTTTCGAGCAAGTGACTTTGAAGTCCTCTACTTCTGCGCAGAAAAGACCAAATCTTTGATTACTGGGAACATTGTTGGGGTTATGCCTTGCACACCTTTTGGACTCATCATCCAGGCGTGGCAATCCCCGTAGAAGCGACGCCAGCTGCAAAAAGAGTTGCAGTCAGAGGCAAGTTCGACAGCTTGTAATTTCTGAGCGCAGATCGCAAATCTCGAGTGCAGCTGCGGGTCAGAAGTTAACTGGCTTCTCAATCGGATCACCCATGATTTGGATGAAATTCTTTGAATTGCACAAAAAATGGCCGTAGGGAAACATATTGTGACATTTTTGTGGTTACAAAGATTTCTCTTCTTCATGCGCAGATCAAACATGTCTTGGCATCGATAAAAGTCAGAAGGCGCATTAAAAACTTCAGGCTTCCCTCTACTGAAGGGTGTAAAAAAATTTGGTGTCCAAGTCCGACCGAGCGCCAAACAATGCGTTTGAAAATGAAAATTTCCAGAAGTGCCCTGGAACTTTCTTTACAACCTAGTATAATTATTTTTGCATGCTTGCTTAGAAGTGAATGGTCAGAAATCGAAGTGCCCAAATTCAAGCAAGCTGTATACCATTAGGTACAGCGTGAAAAAGACTTTAAATCTGTCTTCCTTTTCCTGACCTTTAACGGCTAATAATTTCATTTACTTTTGTGGATGAAATTTTAGCCGCTAAAGGTCATCATTTCGCTAAAAAGTATGGCATGTAAAGGACACACGTTCATTACACATGGCCCGTACTTAGAGGGGAGCTAAAAGATATAATTGCCGTGCCCAATCTCGCGATTTTTGTATACGATTTTTTCGCATAAAGCTGCTCATAAATTCGCCTGCAAAAGCGTTCTGCATATATGAGAAACAGATTAAAACCAAGGTTCTATGGTGCATCGAATAGTATGCAACTTGTTAGAATTGGCCGCTTCTACTTCTGACCATTTTTTTCTTACAATTAGCAATTGAAGTTCCGCCCTTTTTACGCTCGTGGTGGGAAAGTGATAGGAGAGCATGTTCGCAAGAGAGGTGCAGAGCCCAGGTAAGCGGGAGCGGAAATACTGGCACATTCGACTCTGCAATTGATAAGCCTTGTACATCGCCAACAATTGCAGTCATGCAAAGACCTTCAGTGCGTTCTACGAATTCTCTTTGAAAATTTGCAAGCAGTAGATTGGGTAAGACTCGGAAATCACTATTTTTCTTTTTGAATCAGGTCTGTTTTCCAGCTATGCACACAAAATTACTGTTGAACAGTTGACGTACCGCTTCCATCACAGAAATTCGTGGGGTTTAAAAATTACGCAAGGCTGTGCATTATTTACTGCAAAAGCGCGGATTCCATGAGTCTCTTTGGAATGAACAGAAGCTTCACACTATGAAACCAGCTGTTTGTGAAACAGACTGACTTTCAGTGATTTCAACATTAAAAAACAAGTTGACCATTTCTCTTCGATTAGAAACGACAGGTTCCAAATGTTGCAAAGTTTTACACTGCAAAACGAAACTGTTAAAAAAAACTAATCAAAGAATGCAATAGTGGTAAAAAGGACAAGTTGACATATTGCAGTGCCCAGCTGGTGCAGATTTGAGATTTCTCAATATGTCCCGTTCGAAATCAAGAAGAGAGATTGGAAACCGCTTTGAGGAACGATTGTAGTCTTGTATGTGTAGAGAGAGAATTTCAGACATGTTTATCGAAGAGGCTTACGGTGACTTCGAGGTGAATTGTAATAGCGTCCAGCACTGTAGAAATTCGGGTTAAACTTATATGCAAATCAGTGACTGCGCCGGAATTCATTAAGCAAGTCTATGTGCAAGATAATGTTGAAAAAAGCAAAAATATGACGTAGCCTTTCGTCAAAGTTATTATTAAAGCCGAAAGGTTATTCATAAAGGGGACTTCGATGACTGCATTATTTTCGGAGGCCATAAAACGCTTATTTTGCTGAAGTCTAAGAAGCACAGGTGCTATTGAGTGCTGGAACAAACAGTAAACATGAAACGAATTTTCATTGATGGAGCAATGTTATCGTATCGAACATCTTGTTGTCAAACGACGGGAGTGCAAACTTTCGTCAGGGTCTCTCCAGCAAACTTGCGCAAGTTCTGAAATAAAACCATATACATTGTAAATCTACCTAATCAATGTTACATCCTGTTTGTAAATTTACTTAGTCAATGTTATATCCTGACCACGCACTGATTTTGCAGTTATATAGTGAAGCAAATTTGCTCAAAAAATATGAGGCAAAAGGCTATGACGAGAGTTGTTGCAGGGGTTACAAAGCAAATATTTGCAGATTTCGCGTGAAATCTCCACAATTTTCAGTAAATGAGCTTTCACAAAACAAGATGCTCACAAATTACCGACTAAGTTTGATCACCCTGAATTTTTTGAGCTTTAGAGAACTTGGAATTGGACAGAGGCTATCTAATGCATTTTGAGTTGAGTTTTAACAAGGTTTCCTTTTCAGAAGCGTTTGGAAGGGATGACTGCTCCTGTAAATCATCTCTAATAAAACTTTATACAGTTCAGTCTTTATAATGGGATGTTTTAGACATCGCACATTCAATACATACTAAATATCCAATGGTCTAATAATGACATTTAAACATCTTTTATTTCTTCTTGAAATCTGCATCGTACAGGTCGTTTCGCAGCAGCAAGTCCGCGTAGTGCAACTGCAACGACACCCGCGCGAGCTGTGTTTTGCTCAGGAGTCGAATTGGAATTTATTATTTCTTATTCTGTTTCTCATTCTTTAAGAATGATTAAGAGCCATGTCTCTTACCTGTAGACATGTACAGCCTGAAAACCAGCCCTCGGATGGTGGTGTGATTTTACTACTTCCCGCGGGGCTATGCGGGTGTGTCGCCGTCAAGAGATTCTTGTAATGCCACTCAAACATTGTAATATGGATCCTACAGAAACATCTCAGTCTGAAGACTACTGTCGGGATTAAGAGACGAAGACGCAACTATTGGTCAGCAGACAAGTACGGCGGTGCATATCTATCCTGTTGTAGACCGAGCGTCTAAGCCCTTGCGGCTAATGAAGCTGCGTCCGCGGCTAGGTTTTGCTCCTTCCTCCCGCTGTAAGCCTCGTAAACCTCGACAAGTTTTGTTCTGAATGCTGAAAGAAAGCAAGCGTTCACCTAGGGCGTATCAGCGGTTTTGAAATGGAGAATCCTAAATGAAAAATGTTGCAAAGAATGGGGAATTTCAAAAATGTTATAGACTGGTAATTTTGCATCCAGGAAAGCCAAAATGTTTTTCTGAAATTTCTCTGCTAACAATTAAAAGTAGCAGGAAAATTGCTTATATTAGAGGCATCGTCACAATTAAGCGCTTCAACCCAATGGGTCCAAGGTGCGAGAAGGCTGCGAATGACCAAACAGGTAATGAATATGAAAATTCGCTATATGAATAAGAATTTTGTTTTAGTATAGGGAAACAATTGCCGCTCGCGAAATTTGAGTAGCTTTTCCGTCTTTTATCGAATTTTATTTTCCTCATGTGCATTGTTATCCGTGAGCATTCAAGCGGCTATCCCATACTGTCGATCATTGTGTTTTAGACAAAATCAGCATCTAGGCACTAATGGATTGCGGTCGGCAGCAACAAAGTTGTCTTCGAGTGTCGGTAGCTGGTATGAATGTATTGCGTATGTGAGCGTCACATTATGCCCTAGTTCCTTGCTGATAACTACATCTCCAGAGATGCAAAACAGTTGCCGCATTAAGCGCAAATCACCTCCTTTAAGAGAAAATTTTTGTGTTGCTGGAAAGTATTGTAACACGCTCTAACCTCATAGCAGTGACGTACCCAGGATCTCGGCTCGGGGGTTCGTTGAAGGTGCATGGCGTCAGCCACGCACTCCGAACACTTTCTTGGGATGCTCCCTAAAATTTTCGCGGGCTCATAATCCCGGAATTCTAGAAAAACGGAGCTTGGCATTAGTTACGCCCCCAAAAAAATTTTTATAAGGTTAAAATGAATTTCTGAAAATTTCAGATTATTTTAATTATTTACAAGTGCTGACAAGTCATTTGCACAATTTTATACCATGTTAGTAATTCAAAAATTTCGCGACCCGTTCTTGGAGTGGGGGGGGGGGGCGGTGCGCCATTACCTCATAGATATACAGGATACGCAAACAATGTGATGCCGATTATTCACAGATCTGCCTACTTGAGTTGTTTCTTATCTACCTTGTAAGCGCTGCAATGTCTAGAGTTCTTGCTTTGATTAACCAAAATGCTCCTCATGCTCAACGTTTGCTCGGTTATTCAGGTTAGGCTATACGCAAAAACGTCACCATAGCAAGGATCGAAGAAATATTCAAAGGATTACAATTGTCGTTTGAATAATGGGCAACGAAGGGGCTTTCGCACAATAAAGGGTAGGACTTAATTTATATTATACTTGGGTCCGATTCGAACATTCGGTTATTCGAATAGAACATTCATATTCATACATATGAATATATTCGCATCCAAAATTCGATATTCGCAGTTTTTCAATTTTGAAATTCGAAACTCGAATATTTGAGTAAACGGGGTTTCGAATGATATTCGAAAAGTTGAATAATCAAAAAACGGGGTTTTGAATAGATTTTATTTGAATGTTTTATTTGAATTCGTTCTCGAATGAACTCCGTAATCAGACTGTTCGAGTTTGTTGCAGAGCCAACTGCTGAGCATCAAGCTCGCTTCCTTTGCGTTTTCTTACGCAAAACTCGGTAACGCATCTTTTTGCAACCGTGATGACCTTTTAACTGTATGGAAAGCCGCGTTTTTCCGTTCTGCAACAGTAAAAAAAGGTACGATTTTTGATTTATGCTTTTTCAATTAATGAGATAGTTCACACGGCTACTGGCACCAGATCAGCAAAACAGCTAGCAAATTCAAGCTCATGCGAGTTACTAGAAGGGTATAGACTGTGTGTATAGACTCCATCAAATGGATCAAGTGTGGTTGGTTTTGTATGATGTCATTGAAACTACTCCAAAATGATTTATGGCTTAGGTTGCCGAAACCAAAAACAAAACTGTCATTTGATGGCAATGGGCAAGGACCTACAGCTGGCACGGCATCATCAGCAAACGTTCACTACAATGCGGTGAACTATTCGTTTTCATGTGCGTACGCTGACTTCTCTGTTTTAGCGTTGTTGCTTTTATACGTTGTTTTCCTTGCATAGGCGATTTCATGAAATTGCTCCAATTGACCCGCAGCAAAACGGTTGTAAAAGTCGCGCAACCTTCATTTGTTTCTGTTCTTGGTAGTCGTTTTCACCATTTATTGATTGTAGACAGTTTCTGCGGCGTCGACATTTGCCGACAATAACTGCGCCGTATTTCATTTGCTTTTGATCCCAAATGCTCATGCGAAGAACAAAGTTCCACGGATATTGTTTGTTGTTTATAAAACCTTCATGTCCAGTGCATAGAGTACAACAAACATTTAGGGAACAGCGTAGATGGGTAGATGTACAGCGGAGGAGCGTCATCTCGGCTCCGCCTTTCAAAGATTTCAACACGTTTTTTTCCTCAATGAAATCTCTTTTGTTAAAAGCAGTCTTCACTTTTCTTTTTTCTGTGGTAGGGTAAATGTGCAATTTGTAAAGAATCCCTAGCACAACAGGTCTCCGGTGAATAAGGTCTTAGTAAGTCAAATTTCGCGCATTGCAACAGGTTACTGCATGTTGCTGTTAGTGCGCCTAAAATGTAGTCCCACAAATTACAGTATGCACCATGTCACATGTTGCAACAAAAGGCGTGTTGCAGCAATGAGCAACATGTGGCGGCAACATGAGCATCTTAGCCTCATAGTTGCACCAAGTAAGATGTTGCTTGCGGCACTGAGACACCGCAAAACCTCTCGAACCCCTGACCACTCCAACATCACGCCAACTCTCAAACACTCCACCACTGGAGTTGATATTGTTCTATTTTCAAGTTTACTGAAGCGTTATACCCTTGGCTGGTTGATAGAATATAAATTTTCCGATCAATTGCTTGCTGGATGCTGGAATGAGGCGCCAAGAGATCAACTCCGCTTCGCCTTAGGGGAGATGCTCTGACGGGGTTTTACCGAGCAATAATGTTTCTGTGGACAACATCTGCGAACAATTCCCACGCTTGTAACTTTGGCAGTTGCGCGTACAAAACTAGTGCTAAAGCGCACATACTCAAAATGGGTAGGAAACGAACGGCCAATTTGGTCCATCCTTGCAAACTACAGTTCTTCAAACGACATGCAACAATTGAAAAAACTTGTTTTCCGCGAAAGCGGCTCAAAGTCGCGAAATCGTTCCTCTACTCACTCAAATTTAGCGCCATCCTGCCATTTTCGTGGGCGAATTGTCGGCAGTTGGCCGCAGGATCACTATGCTCACAATCGGATTTGTTAGCCTAACTATCTACCTATCTGCTCAAGTTAGCTGTTATATTTTGGAAGTAATGTTCACAACTGCAACTATTGTACTGCGCGAGGCTCAGCACATTTCATATTGTGGCTATGCACATTCTGCATCGAAGAGTCCATTGTCCCGGGCACCTACGCATCACGTCGTGAATGCCCTAGATGCGAGCGTGCGATCTGCGTTCTTTGTTACTCTTGGACTGATGACGCTGATGAAAAGGTATTTGCGTTCATCCTAAGATTTATATGTACTGCTTTGTAGAAGAACTGTTTAGAATAGATTCACGATCTGGGTTGATGAATTGCTTAACCATACTCGCCGTGCAGAATGTCTCGCAAGCTAACAAGAGAATCATGCTTGGTCAAGATGGCCTTTGGGATGGAATGCAAACGAAGTCTATTGAAGAGGAAAAACGCTAATTCTACATCTGCCTTCCCATTCTGCGGTACATCTGTGGACAAGAAGTTATGAGCGTCTGAGCAAAAAGCAGAAGTGCTTCATACTAGCTCTCGAATAAGGGAACAATTTTTAGTGATAGTAATATAAAAAATTGGAAACTTGCAACAAAAATCGGATCAGTCGCTATTATAGGTTCTTTCACCAGCTCTTTCTAACTGTGCAAAGTTTGCGCCTATTGAGCGTCTCTGTGAAAAGTTACGTTCGAGCAAGCAATACAAAAGGTCGAATTTGATTTATTTTGGTATTTTTCAGGGAAATCATAACTTTTCATAAAGACGCTCAATCGGCGCAAACTTTGTAGTGTTGGAAAGAGCTGATGAAAGAACCTGCAATACCGATGCTCTGATTTTTGACTAATTTTTGACCGACTAATTTTTGTTGCAAGTTTCCGATTTTTTATGACCCTAAGAGGAAATTTGAATTTTGACTAATTTTCTTCTGCCGCTCCTATCTATGCAACATGTTATCATTAGCAAGCAGCTAAGATGTCTTTATAAAGAGCATGACTTACTCTTTCACACAAAAACCAGTCAAATCGGTTGGAAAAATCAGAAGTTATGAATTTATGAATTTGGTGCGAAAGAACTTTCGGGACGACCTAGTATATTAGATCGTCCCAAAAGTTTTGTCCGTTTTTCAAAACCACTATAAAACATGCACATAAAGATTTGAATGAGTTTTAACATGCATTCAATGCTGCTTTTCTTCCTCTTCTTATGGATATTTTCGAACCACAATCTTGCATGCTTTTTTGTCAATTGCCACACTTCTTTACCAGTCAATTTTATTTGCTCAAAGTTAGGCTAATTTTAGAAAATTTCATTCCAAAGCTTTTTGAAGGGTTGAGTATGAATCAAATAGCAATTCTCGAACTACAAGATAATACGTTCATATTCTTCTAGTCTGCTGTTTTTAACTTTGAAAAATTATTTTTTTTTGAAGGTCTTGATTTTTGGCCAAGTTATAAAACACGCAACTGCAGCAAATACACGGAAGCTACTGAAAATTCTAGGAATTAAACATTAATCCTATCAAACATTATTTAGGCAACATAATCGAGTTTAATTGCCTTAAGAAAGCAGTTATTTGGGATTTTTGGTACTTTTACGTGGTAAATGTAATCAAAAAAGAGCAATTTCTTATTAAATATATAAATATTACGGACTTGGTAAACGTGATCTGTAATTTAAAACGGGAATATAGCCAAAGGTTTGCTCTACCAGCGCTCTTTGAAGACCTCAGATATTTTCAAAATTCAGGAAAGATTTGAAAACTATTATTATATTTTAATATTCAATATTGTTACTATTGTTTTGTCCTGCTTGCCCATTCGATTTTTTTGCTTTATTTATAAATGCTTAGATCAGGAAAGCAAACTTGAAGTCAGCGTGTTAATGCCCTCCATTTGAACATCCCATCCAAAAAGGTTTCTTTGACTACGTATAATCCCTTTGTAAGAAGTGGAAAGAGGCTTCACTGGTATCTTTCCTCACTCTACCATCTGAGCACTACCAAACAAAGCAAGCGTTACTACTATTTCAATCTGAAAGTTCTGTGATTTTGTCCCAGTTCTGAAAAGCTATTCTACGACCACGATGGCATAGAGTCATTCTTTTTACTCGAATTCAAATGGTAAACAGGAGCGACAGCTCTGGGCAAAGCATCGCTGCATATGCAGTGAAATTGTTGATGCGGAAACTGTTTGAGTTTGGTTATCTTTCCGTGAATAAAGAATAATGTGCACGTGTAGGCCAAGGGATAATTTGTCAACCTTGCTGGGCGAAAAGAATTCTCCAGCAAGGTGCAATGGCTTTGTGATCGATTTTCCACTGCGAAACTCCCGGACCTCACGCCTAGAATGCAAGTTTGCCATGAAGTTAAGAGCTCGCCGTTGAGATTTATGCCAACATGCCGGGTCGATTACCACTACCCCTACTTTACGGAGAAGAAAAAAACGACAGAAACATTAAAAAGAACATGCACCCCGAACTTTTTCACTTTTTATCATAATTTATAAAGACATACACGGTAGTCGCCGACATATACAAGACCAGAGCCGCCAACATTCCTTGCATTGGCCAGGAATGCATCATAAGTTGCTACATATATGTAAATGATGCGAATGCCAGCTTTTCTAATCTGAAATAGAAACCATATAAGATACATAAAATTGTCCGAGCGTTTTTTCCAGAATGTAACCATTCTAATCAACCGGTGAGCTAGAAGTGCTGAACTATTTTAAGGCCTTTTGAAAAAGATTGGCTGTGAAACAATAGTATTCAAAGCTTTAGCCATACACTACTGCGTTTTCAATCTATTATACTATTTGGATTAAAAAAATAGTTCTTGAATTTTTTGAAGTTGTTTAATATTTGGTTTGGCGCTTGCAAAAAAGCAACAGGAGTTCTGGAGATTATAGATGTCATTGAGCAGTATATAATTGAACTCGTTTAAAAAAGTCTCTGCTTTTTTTTTGCTAAGCCCGTCGTTACTGTATTCAAAACTAGAGCTTCCGTGGAGAGATAGATACAACAAAATTTATGTTTATCTTCATTCCAAAGAAATAAACATGAATAAGAAAAATCCAAATGTTTATTTATTTATTTATTTATTTATTTATCTATTATTGCACGTAGTGCGCCAACAATTCAAAGTGCAGGTAAATCAATGAGTAAACAGAAACGTCAAAAATGAAAGCATCATTAAATGATGAAAGATCCGATGCAGCAGTTAACCAGTGTCCAAGTCAGTTGGACACTACCAGGGTCAAGCAAGGGGTGTGGCACACGATTGCTGGTTACGACCCCCCCCCCCCCTGATTGCTGTCTTAATAAGACCCCCCTTCCCCCAACCATATACCTAAGATAGCATTACCAGAGTTGAGAAAGAGGTCAGACACAAGTCTTTCGAACCCCCCCCCCCATGAAAGCCCTCAAACGACCCCTTCTTCCTCCTCTTAACCTCTGGACCTCAAAGTGTGGCATTCTGGAGGACACCATCTTTTTCTAGATACTTTTCAGATTTTTGAGAGCTGTACGCCCGATTTTCTGTGACTGCACTTTACAATCACACGTAATTTGACGGCTGATTTTGATCTGAATGGGCATATTGAAAGGGCCATAATTTTCTTATGGGTGAGGCGTTCGGCTCCAAATTTCCAATGTAGCAAGAAGAAGGTATGTGCTCAATACTCATGCCAGCAATGGAGCGCTTTCTGGATTTTGAAGGCAAGTTAAGGGGGTGCGGCACACCACCTCAAAAGCTGCGGCTGCCGCAGCTTTTGAGAGGGTGCGCCGCACCCCATTAACTATATCAAAAAAACAATTTTGGCGGACAGCATTTATAGAATCGATAGCCTAAACCTTGTAGATGCCATAGGACTGTTTGGAGCCTGATTTGTCTTCTTAACTCTAAGTAATATTTGGTGAAATCACAGGGATAAAAAGCGAAAAAGGGAAAAACGAGATTTTGGTTGGCTTCTAATTCTACAGTTTGCAGGTCTTCTGAAGCGGGATTCCTGAGGTGGACAAAGAAGGAGTAGTGCTATGTCTTGAGTGCAAAAACGGATAGCTAATTCACTTTTGAAACAAAGTTAACCATGTTGGAATTTGACCATTTCATTTAGGTGGCCTAATATCTTGAATCTTCAGAATTCGCTCGCACTTTGTTTACAGGGGTTAATTGACATGCTAATTATGGATATGATACGAATATCATGTTATCACTATTGTCAGATTACCCAACTACGACCCCTCCCCTTTTGACTCCTCAATACGACCCCCCAGGTGTGGCCTGCAGCACCCCACGCTTGACCCTGGACACTACCTTACTTCCATAAACAATGAGATTCTAGCAAAAAATTAACCACTGCGCAATGGCTTACTATGCTTGCGCGTCAGCCATTCTGCGTCATCCACTATGATTGAAGTTTAGACCAACGATGTACAGATATAATGAGCAATAACTGAGGTGGGAACAAGACCATATGCACCCCAGAGGCAACTTCACATCCATCTGTATCCCTGTTGTATATTTCCTTTAACTGTCATACCCCGACATATAGGGTGAGGCCTAGGCGAATGGGCCAACCATGCGTGCCTCGGTTACATCATGTATCTTATATATAAAGCTGAATGTCTGTTTGTCTGTCTGTCTGTCTGTATGTCTGTCTGTGTGTACGTATGTTCCGAATAGAAAATTCCATTTCTGAACCGATCCGGACCAAACTTGGCACACATACACTTCGGGCCCCGGCGGGTGTCATAGGCTACTTTTCGTTTCGATCGATATCGATTTTATCGATTTTTTGCAAAATTTGAGCTACGGGGCTGGGAGTTGGCACAGGAGGGTAATCGAGCATGCTGATCACCCCCGTGGGGGTGCTCGATTACACCCCTCTGCCAAATTCCAGCCCCCTAGCTCAAATTTTGCAAAAAATCGATAACATCGACATCGATCGATAACAAAAAGTGGACTGTGACACCCGCCGAGGCCGAAGTGTATGTGTGCCAAGTTTGGCTCGGATCGGTTGAAAAATGAAATTTTCTATTCGAAACATACGGCGGAGCCGGGTATGCCAGCTAGTGTACTATAAGACGAGAACATGTAGCAGTGTCTACTAGCCACTACAGTACCTAATTATAAGAATCTTAACAAACACTAGCCAAGCTCGGGAAATTACTATTAGGGTGATCCAAAAGTAATGGGGCACATTGATTTTCTTAAACATTTTTCAAGATCTTTTTCTGATTAGCTATGAACAACTAGCACTCTGAAGGCTTTTGTATAAAGTGACCTGCGCAGATTATCCTGACAGCATCTTACAGCACCTCATAGACATTCCTTTGAGCGGCGCTTCAAAGAAGTCAGACAGACTTTTTGAACGCCATCCGAATTTGTGCTGCTGCACCTGAAAGTCCCTCGACAAATGGCATACCATTCGAAAGAGCTTCCCAAATTCTTTCTAAAGATTACTTGAAAATCCAAAAAATGCCCACTATTTCATACAAAAAAGGCACTTCATTCAAAAATGTGGAGTGTTTGGCGCAGATTTTCAGACTAAAATCCACGTTTTGACCCACAATTTTTTGAAAATGAGGATACGAAGTAATTTGCATATCTATGGATAGAGCGTAAAAAGCACTACTAGAAAGCAACTGTTAAGGTTGAGTTCATTTGATCACTTTGATGAAAGATTAAGTAATATATCTCCTGATACCCAATGCTATAGTTTCTGTTCTGAAGCCTTGGGACCACCGAGCATCGTGGATTTGGTGACAGTCCCCTCACCCATTGCCGCGCAGATATCTTTGGTAGACACACTTGTTCTACTGCTGCGCTGCTTTGGTAGACACACTTGTTCTACTGCTGCGCTGCTGCTCAAAGTTCAAAATTACTTGAAGTGATAAGCTAAAATTTCGCGCTTATAAAAATAACGCCCTGTGACCGTGGCCAACTAGAGACCTCGATAAGAAGGCTTTGTTATGTACTAACATCTGCCTAAACTTGGACTTCCAATTAGCTTTTCTATTTGAAAAACCTGCACTTTAGGTGCCCCATTACTTTTGGATCACCCCTAATAAATTGCATGAAAAACTGCGATGACATCGCAGAGGCTGCACAGATCACAGAGGGGCGAAATATTAGCGAAAAAAGGGTGAATGACTTTATGAACGATAGCATGTGCCCGCCGTCAGCTGCCTGCCGTACGCGGTGCGCAGATTCCCCGTTTTTCAGTCCCCCCCCCCGCTTATTAGCGCGGAATGCCTTGCAATTAAGAAGGCTCTCTTATGTATATGTCATTTATATTCTGTCATAAATCTTACGACGGAACGATACTTAGTGTCCGTGGCCTTTTGGATGAGATGTATACTATTATACTCGCCTCGAAACGCTGACCGAATTTGACTTCCTTTTCTGCTGATCGTTTCTCTAAAAGGAGTTATGGAGGATTTTCGATCCAAGTTTGGCTGCCCGAGGAAAATAGATTGAAGTGCCGATATCTCTAGTAGGCTGCGGTGTAGCAGTTAGAGCGATAGCCTCATAAGTGATGCAGGTATAGGTTCGAATCCTTTTGTGTTTTAAAATTTTGCATTTTGCCTCAATCAACCTTTCATTGTAAGTTAGGCATCCTCGAGGCAAATGCATGCCCTTGCTCAAAAAAACCAACAAAGAGTCGTTTTTGTATGAGCGCTCTTTGTATTCATTCTGAAAGGTGCTTACAAAAATGAAAATGAATGGAAAATCATGTTGACACAGTGATGGAAATCTAAGAAATTGACTAAAACATAGGAGATGCTCGCAATAAGCGCACCGAATAAAGAATAAGTCATTGCAGTTGGCTTTCTTGCACTCAACTCAGCAATACACGCGAAAAGCAGTATTATACTGAGGTTTGGAATTGACCAGGAGGCTCATTAAGGTAGCCTGCGGTTACCACGTGTTTTGTTCGAGTGAATTCACTCGAGTTATGATTAATAGATACATTTGAAGCAAACAGTAATTATTTCTCCGAATTTCCCATGTTTTTTTAAGAGAATGCATTCACCTTGAGGATGCCTAACTTTCAAGAAGAAGATTAAAGGCAATGCAAAACTCAAACACAAAAGGATTCGAACCTACACCTGCATCAAATTATGAGGCTACCACTCTAACCACTACACCACAGTCTACCGGAAGTATCTGGCACTCCGATCGTATTTCCTTCGGGCCGCCAAAGCTGACTCGAGAATCATAACTTATAATAACGTGCTGAAGTTGTTTACGTTTGTGTGTGTGTGTGTGTGTGTGTGTGTGTGTGTGTGTGTGTGTGTGTGTGTGTGTGTGTGTGTGTGTGTGTGTGTGTGTGTGTGTGTATGTGTGTGTGTGTGTGTGTGTGTGTGTGTGTGTGTGTGTGTGTGTGTGTGTGTGTGTGTGTGTGTGTGTGTGTGTGTGTGTGTGTGTGTGTGTGTGTGTGTGTGTGTGTGTGTGTGTGTGTGTGTGTGTGTGTGTGTGTGTGTGTGTGTGTGTGTGTGTGTGTGTGTGTGTGTGTGTGTGTGTGTGTGTGTGTGTGTGTGTGTGTGTGTGTGTGTGTGTGTGTGTGTGTGTGTGTGTGTGTGTGTGTGTGTGTGTGTGTGTGTGTGTGTGTGTGTGTGTGTGTG